TTTTTGAGACAGAGCCTCAAGCTATCCCCCTGGGTAGAGTGCCATGGCATCACGCTCACAGCAACCTCCAACTCCTGGGCTCAAGTGAGTCTCCTGCCTCTGCCTCCCAAGTAGCTGGGACTACAGGCGCTTGCCACAACGCCTAGCCATTTTTTGGTTGCAGCCATCGTTGTTTGGCGGGCCCGGGCTGGGGATTTGAATCTGCCACCTTAGGTGTATGTGGCTGGTGCCTTAGCCACTTGAGCCACAGGTGCCGAGCCAGTGCTAGGATTATTGGCATGAGCCATTGCACCCAGCCTGTTTATACCTTTTAATTCCAAATTTATGACTAGCGATGACCCTGAACAGTGTATGTTAGTTGAAAGGCCAAAATGGACACTTGTAGGGACACCACATGCTAGATGGGGAGAATGCTACTGAGTCCTGTGGCTTTTAGTGCCCTGGGTGTGATAATAGAGTGATTCTTGGCTTCAGCACTGCCCCCAGAAATGCAGTCCTTTCCTGAGTCCTGGAAAATGGACATGGAGAAAATACTTAGTCTATATCCTGTGACCTTGCAGCTCCCTAGCTTGTTCACTCAGGAGAGATAGAAATAGCTGTTATATCTCCCAGCAAGGCTTGAGGTCCTGTGGGGAAACCTTTTTCATCCAAGGCTGTGTCATCCATCAGATGCTCTTTTGGGAAAGGGGTGGCTCAGCCTCTGGGGTTTCAAATGTCCTGATTAGACTACCAAGCCTTGGAGCAGGTAGTCTGCTGGTGTACCCATTAGCCAGGGTCTGTTGTGGTTTGTGTCTGGCATTGTGCCTTGAGGGCTTTCTAGTTTTGCAGCCCTGCCAACTCCTATTCTATCAAACTCAGTCTGATGCACAGTAGTTAGTGAACCCTGTGTTAAGATGTTGTAAGTCACTGGCTTCTAGAACACTCCTGGATAGAAGTGTGAGCACCATTTTTGAAGATAAACAGGGCCAACGCTGAGTCACAGTTGTTCCTCCTCGTGAAAACTCAGTTCTGATATCCGCTCCTCTACCCTAGGTGCCCAGAGCCCACCTTCATGCAGTGTGGCTGTGACATTTGGTGTTTCATGTTGCAGGTTTGGCATGAGTGAGCTTGCTCACCTGTGTGAACAAGTGCCCACCATGACAGATTCAGAGGGCGAACAATGGGAGAAGGAGGATGAGAATTGTGAAAGCAGGGCAGAGAATTTCCAAGAACTCTTGAGGTCAGTGTGGGTAGATGAAGAGGAGGAAGGAGAGATGTTGAAATCTAACAGCCACAAAGAAGACAGAGAAAAGGTAAATGAAGCAGAAATGGAAGAAATTTATGAATTTGCAGCTACTCAGCGAAAGCTGCTCCAGGGGTCAAGAATACCAGATGATAATGAGGACACTGACCACCATAAGGAAGACAGACCACCTTCTGGGCATGTCCTAGCAAGTGTCCAGGTTAATGAACAGTGGGAAAAGGCAGAGAACATGGAGTCTTCTGAGCCAGGAAGAGATGAGGACCCAACCAATGGGGAAAATATGCGAGAGCAAGTTCTCTGGCCACTCCAAAGTCACCCTTCAGACAGGGAGGGGGGTGCAGAGATCCATGAGCAAGAGGCACCCAGGAAGGCCCAGGGTCATTCCAGGTCCTGCAGTCTTTCTGTGAGCCACTCCATTCCACACTTGGAGGATACCTGTGATCAGAAGCAGCTTTTTTCGTCTACTCTAGGAGAATTCTCTGAGTTGTCCCAGATAACACGTGATTCCAAGGAACAGAGTGGCTCTGTCAGGGAGAGGGGCGTGGAGATTCTTCATGGCCCTGCTGCCCAGCAGGTGCCCCTGGCATACTTGCGTGGCTACGTGTTGCAGCCACCCCAGGGTGGGAGTCCCAGCCAGTCCCCTCTTCACCCTCATCACACAAGTGGGTTGTCCCCATCAATACCGCAGTTGCATGGTGGTCTCTCCCAGCTGGCCACCCCAAACTCACTGTCTCCAGCTGGGCTGTCAAAGCTGAAAAGGGACAGTAATATGCTTACATTATTTAAAGAGCCAGGCCACCAGAAAGGCAAAGAATGTAGTTCTGTACTGGAACCCAAAAGTAAGGGGGTCCTGATTTCCCCAGAAAAGTCTCTGTCCATTGACCTAACCCAAACAAAACCTGATCATCTGAGTCCCAGATCTCAGAATTCTCTATCCAGTGTGAACAAAGAAGATGAGATTATCCTTTTGTTGGATTCAGATGAAGAGCTGGAGCTAGAACAAACGAAAATAAAGTCAGTTTCTGGTGATCTTCCAGAAGAAAGGAAAATTCTAGACATTAGTCTCAAGTCCTCTGAGTTGTTTTCTGTCATTGATGTTGATACAGATCAGGAACATTCCCAAAGCCCACCAAGAAGAGAAGCTGAGCTACAGCAGAAAAAGGAGGAGGGGCAGTTGGAGAAGAGGGGCTCTGTGGGCAGCAGAGGGACCCCCTGGCTGTTCTGTGACCGTGAGAGCAGCCCTGACGAGGATAACACTATGGACACCTCCTGGCTGGTACCTGCCACCCCTCTGGCCAGCAGAAGCTGCAACTCTTCATCCCAGACTCAGATCACCAGCCTCAGGACCAGGATAGCAGTGGATGAGATGACTCGGCACACGGCTGCAGCCTCATCAGAAAATAGGGAAGTGAAGGAAGCTACACAGGAACTGTCAGTGATCATGCCCCAGACACTGTCATCATGCCGTGTCCCCAGCACTCTAGGAACTTCTCACAGCAGAAGGCCAGTCCACAGAAGCTTCCCTTGTCCCCACCTCAGGCGCCATAAGGTCTCTCCTCATGTCCATTTCACCGAGCAGTTACCGAGATACTCACAGCCTGGGCTGAGGCTTCCAAAGCAGGCAACTGCTAGTGAAGTGGTGGAGGTCAAGGACAGTGAAGATGAGCAGGAGATGGCCTTCTACCAGCCACACAGCAGCCCCCTACTGGATAGTGACCCCCTAGTTGCTACTGATGACTGCTGCTGGCCAGTGGAGCCCCTTTCACCAATTCCAATCGACCATGTAAACCTTGAGCGAACTGGCCCCCTGAGCACGAGTAGTCCCAGTAATAGGGTGAGGGATGCCTTGGACAGGAGTGACAGCCACTCACCTGGGCTCCTGTGTACCACCCCCATCCGAGGAAGCTGTGCTACACAAAGAAGATCTCTAGACAAATCCTCCCGGGCCGACTCCCCAGGCAGCAGCAGGCTGAGCTTTTTGAATTCAACTCTGTGGGCTGACTGGGATGGAGAAGAGCAGAAGTCTCCAGAAACTCTTCCTCTGGCCAAGACACCAAGTGTTGATCCAGCTCAGAAGTCTAAAGAGTCAGGTACACCCAGTGAGTAGCCAGGAGGGTGGAGGAGAGGGAGGGCTACTGTTTTTGTTTGTTTGTTTTTAAGCTACAGGTCTTGCTGTGTTGCTCAGGCTGAACTCAAACTCCTGATTCAAGACATCTTCCTGGCTCGGCGCC